ACCCAGGAACCAGAGGAGAGAGCAGGGCAAGATGAGGCTCGGCACCAGGGACTCCTGGTCCTGCGACCGGAGCGCATGAAGTAAGAACCATATGCTTCCGGTTTTAACTCCAGGAGGTAAATACCACGCCCCGGCTTCGCCCACAGCCTGGGAACGTGCCTGGGGCAGAGGCCTAGCCCCTGCGGCTGTACCTCGGAGAAATACGGGGATTAGGCGGGGGGCTGGGCCAGTGGCCCAGGCTCCCCGAGTGCCCTGGGCAAGACCACAGAGCATGTGTATGGAGTACCCAGGGGCGTCCCAGGCCTGTGGCCACGCACGGCCACTCCAGGGCGAAGTCATATGGTAGGAAAGGCGCTTCAGAAGCAACAAGAATTGGGGCCGGAACACGGGGCCCTGAGGCCGGAGAGTCTGGACCGATGAGCCGCAGGGAGGGTGTGGAAGGCGTGACCCCACTCCAGCTGGAGCGTAACTGGGAAAAAGGAGCTTCCTGTGGAGGCTCAACATGGGTCAGAGGCTGAGGACACTGCACACCAAGCCCTGGTCCTCTCACTGGGGTCTCTTCCCCCAGGACCCGGGTGAAGAGAGAGCCATCACCCTGAGGGGAGGGCTTACAAAGCCCCAGGGACACTGGTGGTACAGGGACCAGGAGAGGCCACCTTGCCACCCCCCCCAAGACTCCAGCCCTCAAAGCCAAAAGGGCCCGTCAGCCGCTGGGGTTCTCCTGGGGCTGTTTCTGCCAGGTCTGAGTGGGTGGGATGTGGGTCCAGGCTGCCCCCTTTCCCAAGAGTGGCCATGGTGGAGAAGCACAGACTCTGGGCCTCAGAGAGTGAAGCCACCACTTCCCAGCTGGCCCAAGTCAGGGGCCCCCGGCCTCCAGCCCCCCGCACCACGAGCTGCCCTTCCAGGGGGCCCCACGCTGGCGTCTCAGCACACCAACCCTGCCCCTCACCTTGGCCGCGACAGCTGTAGCCTATCCTGTCCAGGGGGCTCAGGGCTCAGGCCTGCCTCCTCACTGGAGGGGTCTCGACCCCCGCAGGAGGTTTCTCCCTGACCCGACTCAGTGCCCACCTTTTGCCTTGGACCCACTGGGCCATATCTGTCCCCTGGAATCTCCCCTACCTAATGCTCGGGAGTAAATGAACCCAGTCAACTTACAACTGCCCCTCCCCAGAATCCCCTCTGTGCCCCCCGCCCCAGTCCATTCTTGGCCCTACAACCAAGGCAATAGTCTGAGAGCCCAGGTCTGTTCAAGTCTCTCCCCTTTGTGCCACCCGGGTAGAGGTCACAGTCCTCCAGGGTCCGTGGTTGTGCCGGTCTGGCTTCCTCCAGCCTCCCCTCTGGCCTCCAACATTCTAACCTCCCTCCTCCTCCGGAAGCACCTCTCCTCGTGACACCTCCAGAGCTCTGCCTCCTGAAGCTGCCTGGACCCCCACCACCAGGTGGGCCCTCGACCCAGTGCTCTGCAGCCTCACGGCCCCTGCGTGGCCAATGTGGGCCTGCGGAGCCCGGTGCTGGCCCAGCCTCCCACCTCCAAGGAAGGTCTGAGGAGAGAAATGCAAGTAAGGGGAGAAAGCCCAGCTCAGTCCAAGGCCCAAGACCCTGGTGGGGGCAGTTGCAGGCTCAGGACCCCCCCAGGGCTCCGGAGGAAGGAATCACCCCCCACCCAGGGGCAGACACCGTCCGGCCACAGCGGGTCCCTCAACCTCTCTGGCCCAGCAGGCTCTCCCTGTGGGTGGGCTGTCCGGCCTCAGTGCCACCCTCCTCCCCTTCTGAATTGCCTAAAGATGCGGCTACAGGCAGGGGGCCCCTGGAGGTCCCAGTGCAGACAGCAAGCCCTCTGTCGAGCCCCAGACATGGGTCCTAGGGGTTACGGAGCCACGGCCTTGGCAGCCACACCTGCTTCCCACCTCCCAGCAGCAGCCTCCAGGGGTGACCCCAGCCTCCTGGACCAGCTTGCTGGTGGCCATGACCCTGCCCTCTGGCCAAAACTGCTTGCCGTGAGCAGCCGCCTCGAAACATCGGCGTGAACTACTGCTTTGCCCCGGGTCTCCGCACCCTGCTGCCGCGGCCAGGTCACACGCGGCTGGAAGAAGTACGACCGAAACTAAAACAGACACCTGGACCACTCGTAAGACGTTCGGCAGATGCTTGGAAACCAGCCGGAGCCCCGCTCCTCTCCTGCCCCTGCACCCAGAGACTGAAACAGCCCGACCGTTTCCGATGGTGAAATGGGCCAAAGAGTTTCAGGAGCATGAACCCTGGACTGAGGGGTCAAGAAGGGAGCGCACCGGGACCCAAGCCTTGCTTCTCATCTGTGCACACACTGGACACGCCGCCGCATGGCCTCCAGTCTCAACACGGAGGGCGGTGAAGGCGTGGCTGTGAGTGCTCTGTGGGGGCTTGTGGGACTCGGCACGGGGAGAGGTCTGGGGGACATCCTGATCTGGGGCCAGGTATGTGGGTCGGGAAGGGGGGTGCCACAGGGCAGGGAGGTGGGCTAGGCATTGGGGAGCCCCTGGGGTATCACCATTGAGCAGGTTAGATCTCTGCTTTTCCCTGCAGAGAACAATGGATCCTGGGGGTGGAGTGGGGGTCCTGAGCCGAGGAGGGGGTGGAGCTGGAGCTCAGTGGATCTGGTCAAGGGTGAGTGCAGGCCGCTGAGGTGAGGTGACTGCTTTGATGCAGCTCTTGGTTTGTGGAGCTGGCTTGTTTGCTAAGGTTTGGTTTGGATTTTGAGCCCTGGAGGCTGAGAGGCAGCAGGGGGTGGGGTCCTAAGGTGGATGGAGAAAGGGTGGCTGAGGGACAATGGGCAAAGGGACCGAGTGGAAGGGCTGGGGGCTGCAAAGGAAAGGGCAGAGGTTGAGGGTGCCCTGAGGCCCATACTGAGCCGCCAGGAGGGCCTTGGGACCTGGGCGGGGTCGGAGCAGCAGATTCCGGGGTACAGGAGTAAGGGGGTGAGCCTGAGGGAGGGACAGGGCAGGGCTGGGAGGGGGCTGGGCACAGGGAGTCCTGAGTTACTTTTTACGATGGGGAGACTGTGTCTGTCTGTGGCGCGGCCTGTTCACAAGCGAGGCTGCAATGTCCCGGGTGGGAGCCTCCAAACCAGGACGGGTGGGCGGAGCCGGGGCGTGGCCTGGCCCTGAGCAGGAAGGCCCTGCAGGGAAGCTGGGTCAGTCCCGGGGGTTTCCCTGGGGTCCTTCCCATGTTGTCCTTAGAACCGGTCTCCAGGCTTGACCGTTACCCCTTCAAGGGGGGTCTGCAATCCCAGACAGCAATGGAATGAGGATGTGGTGCTCGCACAGCGAGCCTTTTTAAATGCGTGTGGGTACGAAAATGAATTCTGGGCTTTGCTCTGACCATGAAACAGAACCGGCTGGAGCAGGGGCCACCCTGCCCTGGAGAAGTTCCCCCTCAGGACAAGTCTGGCTGCGCTAGAGACTCACAGGGCCACGGCTCTTCCCAGGTGGGGCCAGTACTCCGGTCAATGCGACCTTTCCGGCAGCCTCCCCCTCAGGGCCACTGAGAGCTTGGGCGGGTGGCTGTCATTGGAATGTCAGATACCAGGGCTGGGCTAGGAGAAGCCCCGGCTTCCAAAGAAAGCATTTGCCTTACAAAACAAGGGTGTTCCGTGTCCCTGCGTGGATCCCCGAAGTGTCACGGTTCACACATCATCATCTCTATGGTGGTTTCACATTAGAGAGAAAGTGGCAGAGGACAAGCCCACTCTTTCCCCAGAAATGGGTCAGTTCCTAGAGCAGAGGGCAGGTAGTGTGCGTGTCAGTCAGGACAGGGCTCTCCGAGCCTCAGCTAGGGCCTGGACCTGTCCAGAAGTTGACCAGTAGGAAGCGGCCAGTGTCCACTGCCCAGGAGAGGTGTCCGGAGGAGACACATGAATGAGACCTTGGTGCTCAGGTTTTACTCCCGGTATCACAGAACCCCAGAAAGCCCAGCGTGGGACCGAGTGAGCAGGAGACCAGGCAGCCAGGGCCAGGGAAGCGATGCCTGAGCCACAGGGAGCAGGAGGGGCAGAGGGATGGAGAGGGCCCTCAGGAAGCAGAACCGAGAGGGAAGCACAGGGCACACCAGCTAACCCGGTGGTGCCCCCCCTCCCAGCATCCAGACCCCAGGTTCAGAATTCTCCCGTAGGCTGTCCCTAACCCTTCAGTCCTGCTGAAAAGGCCAGAGCCCAAGGCCCCGGAAGGGCCCTCTCCCTTCTCCTAGCCCCTCCCCATTCCCAAATCCCTGCCTCCCGCTGATCCCTGGGGAGGGGTCTTCTCCCCAGGCTCCGCCACCTCCCGAAGACCCTCCCTGCGGGTGCCCAACATGTTGAAACTCTGGTCCGTGAGCTCTTAAGAGAGCTGACCTTCCTATCACCTTGCCCGGGAGTCACTGCAATCCCCCTCTGCTGGCTCACTGGAGCAAGTTAAGAGAAATCTGACAGACCAGGAATTTTCAAAGGGAAACACTGACAGTGGAAAAATTGCTCCTATAAATAGGATTTTACTGGCTTCAATCTTGAGCGGCCCCTTTTCTCTTTGCACTTGGAGCCAGATATCACCCCAGGGCTCGACGGCAAGAGCTCGCTCGGTCTCCCTGCACGAAACGGCTCCGACGAGCCCGGCGGCCAGACGAGCTGGCGGAGGGAGGCCGGGCGGGCAGCGCGCGGGCTCCGGGCTGGAGGCGCGGAAGGGAGCCCCGAACGCGAGACCCCAGGGCGCTGGAGGCTGCGCGCGCCCGGCCGCCACCAGGTAACCCTCCGGGCCCGGCCAGGCTCGCGGCCCCGCCTCGCCCCGCCGGACCCGAGGGCCTGACTGCGTGGCCCCGGCCGCGGGGCAGCTGCCGCTGGGCCGGGCAGCCCGCGGAGCCCGCAGAGGCGCGGCGCGGGGCGCGCGGGCGGCGGCCGTGGTCGCGCGGACTCCCCGCGAGCCCGGCGGGGACACTCGGCGAGGAAGCGGCGGCGGGGCGGGACCTCGCGACCCTCCGAGCCCCGGGCCTCTTACCGATCTTGGCCACGCTGGCCACGAGGATCCAGAGCGCGATGATGTACGGGTCCTTGACATGGTGCCACTCGAAGGTGACCACCTGGAAGCCCTGGCCCGAGCCGTGCGCGCCGCCGGGCTGCTCCTCGACGCCCCGCGCCCGCGGCAGCGCGCCCAGCGCCAGCAGCAGCGCCAGCGGCAGCGCCCGCCCGGGGCCCAGAGCCGCGCGCCCCGACATCGCCGCCGCCGCTCAGCGCGCGGTGCGGACGCTCATGTCGTGTGGGTCCCGCCGCGCTCGGCGGGGCGGACGTGCGGGGCCCCCGGACTCTCGGGCAGGGCGGCGCGCGGCCGAGCGCACTCCGGGTGCGGGCTCCTGTCCCGGTCCCCGCCCGCCCGGGTGGCCTTTAATCCGGCGGCCCCCTCCCGCCCCGGGGCGGGGCCTCCCCGCCCCCGCCGCGCGCACGCGAGCTCGGACCGCGCCGCACGCTCTCGGCGCGCCGGCCCGGCCGGCACACGCCCACCCGGGCGGGCCGGTCGCCCTGACCTCGCCCCCGCGCCCCCGCGCCCCGGGTCCCCTCTGTCTCCCTCCTCGACTGCCTCGCGCGCCTCCTGGGCCCACCGGTCCCTGTCCAGGCGGGGCTGGAGGACGCAGGCCGGGAGGTCCAGCCGCGACTCCGAGCCACCGCCTCCCTGGGCCGGGGTCGGGTGGCGGTGCCGCAGCTGCGGTCCCGCCGGCTCGGCTGGGGGCTGGTGGGCTCCAGGTGCCTCGGGCGCCCCTCAGTGGCGCCTGGGGCAGCCGAGGGCGCACTTGCCCCAAGCTGCTGCTTGTCCGTAGATGCAGGACTGCGGCTTGTAGACCTCACCGGAGACCCGAGGGTCCAGAAGGGGCCAGGCAGAAAGCCTTGAGCTATGTCTTCAATATGCACTTGCATTTCCTAACAGGATGGAAGAAGTTGCCAGAAAACCAGGTCCCTCTCCTTCCAGACCTGGGTCGGGGCACACAGCCCAAGCCATTCTGCCCTTCCCCAGGCAGGTGGCCCCTGCTCCTTCTGTGAGGGACCCTGCAGCCCTGACCTCGGAGCCCAGCTGGGAGGGTCAGACCCGAATGCCCTTTCTACCTGGGGACTTGGCCTCCGCTCAGGTCTACGCACTCGCAACCCCTCCTGCCTGCGCTGCCATCCATTATCCCTCAAATGGGCGCCTCAGACTTGACCAGGCAAACGCCTTCCTCTTCCCTTCCCAGCCCACCCTGCAGCCTCAGCACTGGGCCGCTCCGCCTGCCGTGTCCCGCCCCACACGGAGGAGGCGTGCCTGTCCCCTTCGGCTCCCTGTTTCCAGCCTCTCAGTACACCTGTCACCCTACCTTCCAAATACAAAGGAAGCCCGGCCGCCGCTCAGCAGTCCCAGCCTCCACCAGGCTGCTGCAAAGGCTTCTCGCCGCACCCCCTCCCCAGCCCCCCGTCCGGCTCTCCTGTGGGGCCTCCAATTCAGGGGGAAGGCCCAGTCCTCCCGGGACTTCGGCCCGTCTCTGACCTCAGAGCCGCCCTCTTGGGAACATCCGCTGGCACCCCCTCTGCTTCCCAACGCCTGGTGTCACCTTCTCCTTATCCCGCAGCTGATCTCTCGGCTCGCAGCTGTGACACCCCAGCTCCGCTCCCTCCAGCTGTGTCCCTCCACGCCTTCTGACATGTCCTGCGTCAACCCGTCTGCTGATTGCCCTGTCCGTGGAATGTCTGTTCCATGAGTGAGGGGCCCCACAAAGTCCACAGGGCTCAGGGCTGCGTCCCCCTTCCTGAAACAGGTCCTGGCATACAGGGACACTCGGGAGAAATCGGCTGGGTGGATTGACAGATGGGCAGGTGGGTGGGCTGATAGGTGGATGGACAGATGGATGCGTCTTCTAATATCAAAATATATATCCGGGTGCCAGGAGGCTTGAACTGAACAGCGCTGAGCTGGGTGACTCTACTCCTTGGGTTCTGTCCCCAGCTTCTTGCTAATGGGAGGTCATCAGGAGTGTGGTGGAGAGAAAGTGCATTCAAACCGCGCCCGGCAGGGTGAACTGGCAGGGTGGCTGAGCACAGAATGAGGGGCTGACTCTTTGGGAAGATGCTGCAGGTGGCTCCAGTCTTCACCGGGTGTCCTCTGAGGACCTTCCAGCTGCAAGGGCGTCTGCGGTAGCCCCGGGATCCTTAGTGGGGGGCGGAGGGCCAGGCTCCAGGGGCAGGGGAGGCCCTGAGCTGAGCACAGCATCCGTAGTAGGAGGATGCGACTAGCTGCCAGGGTGGCCTTGTGCGGAGGGCCGTGGAGAGCTCGGGAGCCGTCCCCAGCTCAGCCGGGTCTATGTCCCTCGCCAGGACCATTCCCAGCCTCCGGCCCAGACACTCTTCTCTGTTCTTGCCTCATGGTTCTTGAGTGAAGCCCTCAGGGAGAATGTCCTCTTTGAAGATGGTGCCCTCGCATTCCACAGGAAGGCCGATTCCCACCAGAACAGCATGTGCCCTGATGCCTGATGACGCTCTGGTCACTCCACCCTCCGGGGCTTTCACCAAGAGCCTGTCCTCAGCCCCCCCCCCCGCACTTCTCCTGGGGTGGGGGCGGGGGGGGGCCCTGCTTCTGAGACCCAGGAAGCACTTCAAAGGGCAGGATAGCGGAGCGTTCACGTGTGGGCTCGTGGGCTCAGGCTGCGTGCGGGTGCTGGCGACTGCCCCTCAGACGATGTGCTGCGACCGTGCCGCGGGGTGCCCCCGGGCAAAGGCAGGAGAGGCCCAGTGGCGACAGAAGGAAGCAAGGCCCTGAGACGGGGTGACCTGGTAGGGTGTGGGGCGGCGTCTGTGGGTGCAGCAGGGTGAACACACCTGCGCTTCGCATCCCTGAAAGGCCCTGCGGCAGCTGGTGCCCGTGCGGGAGCACGGCGAGGACACCGTGCCTCCATCGGTGCCCCTCCCGTGCGCCCCACGCCTCTCTGCCTCTGGCGGAGCTGTGGTTTCAGGCCGGGCACCCCAGGCTGCCGCCCGCAGCAGGCAGAACTGTGAATGGCGCCTCTGAGTTGTGCTGCGTACAATCCACACAACAGCAAGGCTGAACGTACGTGGGGCCTGGGGTGGGGGTGTGGTAGGCTGTCAGGGGCCGTGTCCTCAGGACCTTGTCCGTCTGATGCTGTGATAACCGCCTTACTCACCGTGGCCGCGGGGCAGGCCTGCGTGCTGCGGCCGCCCTGCCCCCTCCAGCCCTGCGGCCTGGGCCACCCCGGCCTGCCCGCCCCTGCACCGTCTGCCTGTGCTGGCGCTGCCAGAGCCCAGCACCGCGGAACGGGAGCCCAGACGACAGAAATCTATTCTTCTCACGGTTCTGGAGGCTGTTAAGTCCACGAGCAAGGTGCTGCCCGAGCGCCTCTTCCTGGCTGGTGGAGGGCTGTGTCCTCATGGGCCCGTCCTCAGAGCACAGGCGGAGGGGAGCGAGAGGGAGATTTCTCTTACCCTTTTCGTATGAGGCCACCAACGCTATTTGATTGGGCCCCACCCCTATGACCTCATTTAACCTTCTTACCTCCTGAAGACCCAGCAGCAAATACCATCACAGTGGGGGCCAGCGTTCTAATGTATGAATTTGGTGGGGGGAGACACAGTTCCGTCCACGCCACCCGTGGAAGGGCCCTGAGCATACAACATGCTCAAAACAGTTAAAATAATGCAAACAGCCAGCCCCAAACTCCCTGCATTCTACCCCAGCTTCTGGAGCAACTGAACTTCAAAGTTAAGAGAACAGAAGTTGAGAAACGCCACATCTAGTCCCTCACAGTAATTCCTGGCTATGCATTTCATACATATGATTTCTGAAAACATCTTGTGCATAAAGAAACCAAGGTTTAGAATCGGTTTATACTTTTGCCAACGACACACAAGAGGTGGAGGTTAGGTCTTTCGTGTAAGGCTGCACACACCCCTCGTCCCCCAAAGCTTATTTTTCTGTCCCAGGTGGTCACACGGCAGCTCTTCCTAAAGAAGGCCAGGAACACTGTGTAAGTACCTTCCAAGCCAGTAATTCTGCGTGGGCTGCTCTCCCTGTTTGCTGAGCACCTACTGTGCACCAGGGGCCGTCTAGATGGAGCCAACCCAAATCATCACAATGGCATGTTTATTGTTCCTTATGTGATTGCTGCATTAAAATTGTATTTCTCACAGATTGTGAGCAACCAGTCTTCTGTGATCTGTCTGTCGGGACTTCACACGAGCCTCGAGTCTTTGTGACCTAAAGCCCAGCTTGCAGGTAAGGAGCGTCGGGGGAAACCGGGAAACCGCAGGCTGGGATCTCATCATCTCGGCCGTGTCCCCAGGCCAGGGGTCTGAGCAGGCACACCTGGACCACAGACCCCTAAGCAGGGGTGGGGTGTGGGGGCGTGGCAGGGGTCAAGGTCCAGGACACCGCGTGCCCGGCTTGTGCACCGTGGGGTCAGCTGTGGGGAGGCTCCCGGGTCTAGGGGGACAGGCTGGGGATGGGGTACCACCGCAGGTCCCAGCCACCCCCCAACCCCCACCTGGGTCCCAGATCCGTCTCCCTTGGGATCCTGACCCCCTGTCAGGGACCCCATCTGCTCTCCGCCCCGTGCTTCACATCCTGCCCCCCCCGCCCCCCCCCCCCCCACTGGCTTGGCCAAGTTGGAGAACTGGGCCTGCCCTCCCTGCCTTTGGGGACACTGTGACAGGGCCCTGGGGACTCCATTGAATTCCTGCAGGAGCCCATCCCCCCAGCCACTTCTGATCACTCCCTGGTCCCCCGCCTGCCCCCTCTGCCCGCTGGCCTCACACAGACACCAGCCACATCCTGCCTGTCCCGGCACACAGGCGACCCCCTTCGTGGGGGCCCCCATATCTGGGCCCTGCCTCTTCGTCTGCAGGGCCTCAGACTTCCCTCTCCTTCCTGGACGCGAAACCCCCATTCCAAGAGGGACCCCAACCACGGACCGTGCCACCTGACACCCCCAGCTGGACTTTCTCCTGGAGCTGTACTGCCCCCTCCCCACAAAAGGCCCTGGGACCCTGTGCCGCCTGCACACATCCCGTCAGATGGGGTCACAGGCTCAGACCCCCAGAGCCCAGTAACCAGTCCACCCCCCAGGCTCTGCCAGCCAGGCGGAGAGACCCACCCTGTTCAGCGCGAGACTGGAACCATCCTAAACACAAGGATTCACAGCTGAACCAAGAAATGTGTGTGGAAGGAAACAGGGACCCAGCAAGCTGAGCACAGGCAAGAAAGGAGGGTTTGATATTGGAAAAGCCATTCCTGTGGTTCCTCTGTGAACAGATTGGAGGAGAAAGCTCAGCGATGTGCCAATGGAGGCAGAAAGAGCCATCGGTAAAACTGAAAA